TTTCTGTAATGATCACGGACTTCCCCTACAAGCCCGTTCACTCAAGGGCTATTTTGTGCATATATATTGTCCACTAGAGGTTGGGCCCCAACACGGATTTCTTTCATGTCCTAGTACTAATTGAGCAAGTTACTCAATTCGTACCCTCATTAAACTGAAATTCTGCTTAAGGGGAAGTATGTTTTTGAATTACTGGGGATGTAAAATTAAAATCTACGTCGGGCCCAACCTCCAGAGGATAGTACATAAGCAAATGATGCACGGAATAGTCTTGGAGCCAAACTAATGGAAAAAGGGGCAAGATGGAGAGAGTCTGTGGTTATTACACTTTCAGTACATTGGTCTTCTCTCTTACCATAAAACTTAACAATGATAGACTGATTATTTATTGATTCTGTTGAATTGATGATCTCTAGATGAAGAAACACGGGTACCAAAAAGTTTTGGCTGAATTTGTTAATGTTATGCAGGTTGCAGAGGCTTTGCCAGTAGATGATGCTTCTGTTGATGCAGTTGTTGGAACACTTGTTCTATGTTCAGTAAAAGATGTTGATATGACGTTGCAAGGTATATGTGTTCAAGATCATAAGCTGTAATTATAGAAAATATGGACTTCCAAAGGGCTAAATGGTAAAAAATAACCTTCACATCTTTTAATTGACAAACAAATAGTTATGTCCTAAATTGTGTTATCTGGTTCATACAGCATACAATATTCTGTAATAGAGAACTGCAATTTGAGTAAATAACATCAGTAACTGGATCTTCTATTTACTTCATATGCTATTTGAGATTAGCATATTGATTGTCGTCACTATATGTTAATAATAGAACACTATGATGTATCGTGTCGGATACGTTGACATGCAATTATTTATTGAAACTGTAATTCTCTCCTTTAATTTCGTCTCTCAAGTTTCATTAGAACTCTACTTAATTCAAAATAAGTCTTAACTAAATACATTAAATCACCTAAGAATTCAATTTATGACTGTGATAATAATAAAAGTTTATCTTTTTATCCAATTTTTGAATTTCACTATGTGATCTAAATTTATAATTTACCTTTTGATTCGTTATAAATTCACAAATCATAATTTCTTTAAAAAATATCATTTATATAGTATAAATTTAATTTTATACTTGACATTAATTTTTTTTGTTGAAATCTTTTAAGTATGATTACTTATTTGTTATTTAATAATAATTTTGAGTTTAAAATATAATATTTTTAATAAAAAATAAAAATGCTTATAATAAAGTGTCCGATGAGTGTTAGTATCAATGCATGTTGGACACGGACATGTTACTCCAGTTGAAGTGTCCGTGCTACAAAGATAGAACATGTGAAAGATGTAAAAATAATGTCTACGGTGTAAACTACTGGTGTATCTCTCTCCTGTTTCACCTTAGGTGCTAATTTAATGTTATATCTTTGCTTTCAGAGGTGAGGAGGGTGCTTAAGCCGGGTGGTTTTTTTGTTTTTGTGGAACACGTGGCTGCAAATGGTAATAAATCGACTCTCTAGTTTCATTTATGCAATAAAGATTGTTGTGCTTAATTCGTGCTGAAATTCTTAATTCTCTTGCCATCCTGTTGTTGAGGTCTGTTTTGTTGTTATTGGCAGATGGGACGATTCATAGACTCGTCCAGGGGGTTCTTGATCCGTTGCAGCAGATGGTTGCTGACGGGTGTCATCTCACCAGGAATACAGGAACCAGTATAGCTAAAGCCGGCTTTTCGGATCTTGATATTAATCAGGTTGTTTTATCAACTGCATCACTAGTAAATCCCCATATCTATGGAATAGCTCGCAAGTAGCTCCAAAGTGGCATTGATTGTTCATACATATGACTTTATGCATAAACGAATATTTTGATGTTTTTCTCTGTTATCCAAGAGCTTGTCAGTGTTCTACTACCAATCCATGTCAGATGAGCATATAATTACAGATAGATGTGCGGAAGACTCGATTTATTTACTGTTTTATCAAAAGTCTGAAAATTCGTAACGTTTGCTATGTAAGTGACATAATTTTATAGCAGGTTCATCTGAAAAAATTTAGATCTTATGCTGTTATATGTTAATATCGTGTTGGCAATTTGTTCATACTCACTAAAGGGCATCACTATATCAAGAGAAGTAGAGATCTAATTCACTGGTCCTACTTCAATCCTAAAAACTGGCCTCTACTGGAGATTTATCTGGTGATTTATAGTTTGGCTACGGAATTCAAAAAGAACATCGAGTTTTGGTGATGATGGAAAATTGTAATGTACCATTGTTGTTCTCTGAGGTCCAACACGTCAATGTTTATATCGCAATGGCAAAATTCCATACTCAAGAATATGAAATATGTATTGCTTATGGATAAAGGTTTTAGCAGCAGGAGGGTATTAGGTTTTTATGAACAGATGAAAGTCTCTATATATTACGTACATTGATTCCTTCTCTAATTGGAATATAGAAACATTACTAGGACATAGTTTGAGCTAATAGCATGAATGATCTTGTTTGACTCAAATTTTTAATTGAGAATTATTAGTGAAGTTTATGTATCTTGGAGATTCTATAGTACTACAATAGGAAGGTTTACAGGTAAATTCCATTCGTGGTAACGATACTTTTTTTCTAATGTCAAGAAGGTATTACACTTCAATTTTACTGAATTGAGTAACTATAATTTGATCAGGATATGATGTTATAATATCAACAACATGAAAAATTAAGGTATTTCTTGGGAGTCCTTATGCTTTTATATTTTTCTTAAAGTTTCCAATGCTTCGTGTTTGTTTTTCACCCTTTTTTTATTTTATTATTATTATTATTATTTTTTTTTTGATGTAGTTTTTTAGGGATCACCTACAATAAGCATGGTGCATTGAACAACTTTTAGGGCTTGTTTGGTTTGATCACTAGATACATTTCATAGATAATTCATGTCGAGCATAATAGATAATCTGAGTCCAGCAAGTGTGTTAACGATGTAGTTTCTTTTACCTTTATGAATATCGATCACCAGTTACATTGCATTTGAGTTGGGTGTATATTTGTAGTTTCAAATTTGAAAATATAGTTACCTGAATAACATTCGAGTTAAAGTACAGTTAAAAGTTACCCGAAAGTTTATTGTCATGTGAGAAAATAGGCATGATTTGAAAATGTTACATTGTGATGGGCCGAGCTGCTGGGCTGTTTTTACAGGCTTCTTGATGATCTTTATTGGTCCAATCCTACACAAGCCCATTAAATAAGGAGCCCATTGTGCCCATGACCGAGCCCAACTAAAGCATCCTGTTCTTTACAACAGGCCAATTCCATACTCAGGAAGGGCTTAAAGAGAAACGGTGTCGCTTAGCAGTATAAAAACTAAAAACTGAAAATAAGTAGTGATCGAGTCGAGACCTTTTAAATCTAAAACTAGTCCACTTCATCCAAGCTTGAGATCCAGTTCCTTTTAATTTTATTGAATGCTTTGGGCATCTCAAACCTACAAAGAGGACATTGATGACTTACGTTGAGCCATTCTGTAATGCAACTAGTGTGAAAAATGTGTGAACATGGCAGGTTCGAGACTATCGTCTCCATTAGAATATCTTCCAAGCACACCACACATCTTTCGTCCCCGCTCTCGACGACCATCTTCTTCGGCAACAACTTGATCGCCTCTGTGCTTGTTGGTACCATGTTACCATCCATGCTCGCGAGTACGATGTTGTGCAGAAGCGAAATTGGTTTCTTGAAAGCAAGAATATTGTTGAAAAACTAAAAAATATGCAGGGATAATTTGATTAATTGAAAAGTGTACGAAGTCTTTCTTCATATAGGGAAAATTATTTCCTAATCTTACCGGTACAAGGAAACTAAAATTGTAAAAGGAAAAAGAAAATTATAATCTAAAAAATAATAATAATAATAATAATAATAATAATAATTGTAATCTAATCGAGAAAGAAGATGATATTATATTTTAAATAATAACTAACTTCTATTTTATTTATAATAGGATTGTCATGCATCACAATATGGGGGTTTTGTCTCTCTTCATCCATTGACCAGAATCCTTCACGGCCTCTAATTTCTATATAATTGCATTCCTTTCAAAATTTAGTAACTACAAAGCGACCGTATTTCTCTAATTTTTAAGAAACACTAAGGGTGTGTTTGATTACATTTATTTTCCATGGAAAATATCAGTTTTCCATCCAAATTTTCACTTTGAGTGTTTGATTGCTATTTTTTTCCATGGAAAACATTTTCCAACTTTTGAAAATATGCCTAATTTTCCTTGTTTTTAAGGAAAATATTTTCCTTGGGTAGAGGTGGTTTTTATTTTCCACGAAAGATGGAAAATATTTTCTTTTCTATGTAATATTTTCCATGTCAATCAAACACACCCTAAGTAAATTTGAAAATTGAAAAGGGAAAATTATGTATAATTGAATTAAAAAAAAATAAAAATTAGTGACTCAATAAAATGAATAGGTCATTATATAATTTTTTGAGAAGTGTTACATGTACATAATGTGTTCATAATTACACTTGGCACTGTATTCAACACTTAAATCGAATCTCATGCTTGCACATCAATAATCGGATAATTGTCACATTATATTATGTGAAATAATTATGTACAAGTAGAATTTTCCTAGTTTTTTTTATATCCAAAATCCATGCTTGCTTTAGGCCTGTATGCGAAGGTTTCCGTTGCATGTTGTGTTTATTATAAATAAATTTATCTCGTCTCAAACACATGATGAAACTCTGGCAGTACATTTCTTGTTTCTGAAGTAATTACGATCTTAATGTCAAAATAATTAACTTATTATAAATAAACTTGTAATCTTAGCCAAACATGTTCTTAACTCTTGTTCTAGTATTTTTATCATATCAGTAAACAAATAATTGGAAACACTTTTCATAGAATTAGTTGAAACTTTGTCATTTTGTTTGTTTAGTTTTTGGAAATAATTGAAGGGTTAGCACTCTGGCAACCTAAATTATCTTGAAAGGATCAATAATTAAAGATATAACAGCTAAGATGTGGGGCCATGATTCCTAATAAAGCATATTTATAGTGGAATAATGATTCATATATTTTAATTTTTTAATCCAACTTATAAGCAAGAGCATAAATATGAAAGAAACTATTGCAAATATGGATTCAATTTTTAGTAGCAAAGACAATGTGCCTTAACTTTCCAACAGATCAAAGAAAGTTGTGCTTAAAGTTTCAATCATAGGCACCAAAAAAGGTACCCTAGACATGCACTTTGTTTGCGTACAAACTCAGTCTTGTTTTATTTTATTTTATTTTATTTTTTTAATTAGGGGCAAAACATTGGATCAAGATCTCATTCTCCTTCAAATTTTAAATACATACAATAATTTTTGTGAAAGAGTAGCGACAATACATGAATTCGTAATCTTTATTTGTTCTAATGTCATGTTAAGCATTAAATATTTAACCAGCGAAAAAAAAGAAGAAGAATTAATTATAGTATATTTATTTAACCCTTGTTTGGTGGAGATTAAAATTAAATTTTTAGAAATTTTTGATAAAAGTTGAAAAAATATATTGTTGAAAAATTATGGATCCTCTAAAATGTATGATTAAAATTAGTTATTAATTTTAACTTGAATTAAAATTTGGATTTTAATTTCTACCAAATATTGGTTAAATATTAACTACTTCAATATATTATTATAATTTATTATTTAACTAAAATATTATAATATAATAAAAATTTGGAAGGTCGAAATTGTTAATTCTTCAACCAAATTTTAACCTTGTATATACGGGGCCACTGTTTGTCTTCCATGAGTTTTTTTGTTTGGAAAATGAGTATTGGAATAGTAATTTTTTAAGAACGTGTGGTTGAAAAGTTGAAAGTTTTGAATATACATGCAAAATATTTTATTATTTGAATATGTGTTGAAAATGAATTTAAAAAAAATATATTTTTAATTTAATGTAAGACTAATAGGGACTTAATATACACGAGGAAGGAATGAAATTTTGGAATTTATTTCACTTAATAATAGGAAAATGAAGAAATATCATTTTTGTTTTAATTTTTTTCCTCAATCAATATTTTATTTTAGACTCAAAATTAAAAGTAAATGTAATCATTAATAAAAAGTTAATGGGTGTAAAACAAAAATATCGTATTTAGAAGGACATGATTGCAAATTGTCCACTCAAATAATCGCGCTTCCTCAATCATAGTAGGGTTCTTATATTCTCAGTTTCACACACGCTTTCTTAATTCTCTTGGCTCAGTATCTGTGTCTAATCGTAAGCTACTATTTCTCTCTCTACAATTACAGGTAATTTAAAATTTTTTACTGTATGCAGCTTACGGTTGTTGTTGTTAATTATTGGTGCCAGATTTTTTATTATTGTATGTGGAGTTTCTATTTTCTTAAGAAAGATTTTTTTTCTCCTTTTCTGGGTTTCTACATTTATAGGTTTGCAGTAATTTGAAATGATTGTGAATGCCTTCTGGGTGAAAATACAAGTATTGTTGTTGACTGTCTTCTATAGGAGTTTTGGTGCTTTCTAAAATCTGCTCCTTATTTGGGTTTTCTCTTCTGTAGCAAGTAGTACAGAGCTTTATAGGTTAGTTTTTGATTGATAAATTCTAATTTTTTAATTTTATAGATTTTTGGAGTAAGTACAAGTGCGGGGTGAAATTATTTGACTTTAGAAATGAGAATGACTAGAATTTTTTTTTTGGGGGGGGGGGGGATAGGGGGAGGCGTTTCAAATTTTTTAAAGAAAAAATGAAACTTTCGGGTTCTCTATACTATTGGTTGCATATATGTTACTTTCAGCATAAATATACAGGTATTATTGTTGTTGTTCATTTTGAGTTGAACATTTGTCAATAGTTTTATTTATTTATTTGTTTGTTTGTTGTTGGGGGGGGGGGTTGTTTTGATGCATGGTATTCATGAATTTCAATATTTTATGTTCAATTTACACAATCTATATTTCTTCTTTGATTTTAGGTGTTGGACCTCTGTGTATTTCAACATATTTCAGCAGGGGGAGGGAATAAATAAATTTGAGGCTAAATTGTCGCATAATTTTGTCAGGTTAACTTACAAGACTCGGGAGGGAAAAAAAAAAAAGGAATAGTCGTTGTGATCCTTTGAGCCTTGGATTGTGCGATCTGAGCAGCGATTGGGTTTCTGTTGAATCTTGTGAAAGATAGCTAAAACGGGGTCCCTTTGTTGTGTGGCTGCGAGGCCACATGGATCTAATACTCCCAACAGGGAGTGGTCTGTGGGGCCAGACGAGCCCTACTGGCGAACTAATTCAAGCTTTTCACCACCCCCGTCAAGATGGGATTTTAATTTTCAGTATGAAGCACTGTCATTTGGTTCTCATGATGGTGTTCATTTCGGTTCTTCCGCATCATCAAACAGCAGAGGAAGTAGAAGTTGGATGAGAGGAAACAATCTTCCTAATCCCCAATATCTTATATCTGACAGTGTTGGTCCATATTTTAGTCCATCAGACGTCTCTCCTTCTCAGCAGACTCCCCCAGCAATACAAGAAATCAGTGCTGATGATTATGGTACTTCAAGGAGAGGTATGAAAAGTCAATATTTCATTTGCTCGTGATATTTTTCAGATTCCAAGAACTGTATTTATTTTGTCTAGGCAATTTGCTGGTTGTATGCATGTTTTTTCCTTTTCTACTTTTTCTTAACAAATCGTGCCACATTACATCTTGAAAAAAATTTCAATGCATTTTTTGCACTACTTTTGCTTTTGTCAATTGCTGCAACTTTGCTAATGTTGCCTAGATTCCTATGAGATTGCTCTATTCATCCATAAGGTCATGATGTTTTACTTATGGTTTATGGGTGGAATTTTTCAGCACCTCAACACCAAATCCCCCTTAAAGAAGGATCAGAGGGAGGGAGGGAGAGTCTACAGGATGACAGCTATTCGTTGTTCTACCTTTAGTCCTTTTCTTTTTGCCGAAGCAATGAATGAACTTGCAATATATATTCAAGATGTGGTTCATTTGGGTATGTTATTTGTTGAAGGCGAAAAAAAAAGAGCTAAAATCGTTAGTTACAACTTTGAAGTACTTTGGAATTTAAAATTTTTATATCAAGTAAAATGTAATGCATAGGACCAAAGCAAGTTAGATGAAATAGAGAACTGCTACAAGCATTTTGTTTAGTAAGATCTTTTAAGGTTAAAAGGCCCATTGTACATAAACAAATAATAGACCTGCTTTGTGATAGAAAGCGTTATGCTCCTAATAGAACAAATGTCCAGTAGATGAATGTAGTGGAAATGAGAGTGGTGAGATGGATGTGTGGTCATACTATAGGGGATAGATGATATGAGAATATACGAACAACTAGAGGTGGCATCTACTAAGGATAAATAATGGAATGACAACTTAGGTAGTTGGGACATATGCAACAATAGACCTATAGAGGTACTCATTCATACAAAAAAGCATTTATGGACTGAATCATACCTTTAATTGGATGTGATGAGACTATTTTCTTTGCTATAGATTGTTTATGATATGAGAATTGAAACTATCTTCTCTTGAACGTTCACAAGAATAATCATTCTGTTAAATAGGTTGATTTGCTTTGTCACCATTTACTTAAGAGAGAGCTTATATCTTTCGTTATTTATGAGGTGCTAATTTCGTTGTTTTTATCTGCCCTTGACAGATGTTTTGAGGCCATTATCCCTTTCACCAATGATGGAGGTATTTTGTTAGTTTTTGGTTTCATATTCAGTTCTTAACTTCGTATTCATCTTGCTGAATTAAGTATTCTCACTAACCTGAGAACTTGACAGGGAACTTTGGCAGCTGGAGATAGTGGGGACTCTACTTCATCCCAATCAGACAGTAGTCGAGATTACGAGTCCATGGTCAAGTCACATCACCTTAACTTCTCTGGCCGCCGCAGCTTTATGTCCAAAGCAGTTCATCCTTTGTCCTTTCCATCAGAAACACCCACTAGAGAAGCTGCTTGTGTCACCGCTGCTCGGCTGTCAGAATTTGATGTCATTACTCCACCAGAAGATAGACATAGTTCGACTGCTAGTGGTTGTGCTGAACTGACTGAAATATCTGAGCCCTTGGATTATGATCTTTTTAATAGATCATGTAGTACAACAGATTGTTTCAGATGTGGATTGTGTGAGAGGTTCCTTTCACAGAGATCTCCTTGGAGTTCTAAAAGGATTGTCAAAAGTGCAGACATGCCAGTTTCTGGAGTCCTTTCATGTAGTCATGCATTCCATGCGGAGTGCTTGGAGCAAATAACACCAAAGGCATTTAAGAATGATCCTCCATGCCCCATGTGTGTCAAATTTGAAGAAGAAAATTCTCCCGATCAGCGAGTTTTTTCTAGGTCAAGAAGTAGTTTCCCTCATCTGAAACCTTATTGTGAAGATGGGTCATCCAAGCCTTGGGGCTGTGCACATGGTGGTGATTGTGTTGAAGGGGCTTTGCACACACCTGCTTGCAATAAATTACTGTCACTTAATCGTAATCGATTTAGAAAAAACCTTTTCTTAAAGAGCAACCCAGGTCGGAAATTCCCAGGGAAGTTAAGCAAAAGTGGCCCATCTTCTCCAGAGCTGTTCAGATCAGTTGGGCATGGAGTTTCTGGTTCCTCCTCAACAACAGAAGATTCGGGTTTGAAGTGATGCCAAAGAACTGTATAGAGACGGGTATGGTTAAGGGGTAGATGATCTTCCTATCTGCTGTTTGATTCTGAGTCTTTAATCGGTCAGATGTGTGATGAAACAGATTTGGCTATTCAGTCATGTTGTTTGTAGTGTACTTTTAGCCTAATTTATTAATCTGAGAACGTGGTTTTATCGGTAAAAATGGCCCAAGAGTTTCATTTTCTTGCAACTTTTCCTCCTGTATCTCAATACTTAGCAGCTGCCCAAGTATGCTGATGATATATTGTGCTTTTATGCTGACGTAATTCAGTCGACGCCTTAAGTGGATAAAGTGTTCGATTGTTGTAACATGCAGCCAGCTAACAAGCCATCCGATCGTTGTGTTCTTCCATGATTAAAATAGCGAGAAACACAAACCTTATGAACTATAACCCTGTGATACACAACCTAAGCTGTTTGATATCCTGATATTCAATGTTATGTAACTCGAACTGGCTTGGCTAGCTCAATACGGAAAAACTAAGGGGCCGTTCTCTTTGCTATTTTTATGTCATTTTCTGTTTTCGATTTTTCAAAACAATGAAAACACGTTCTCTTTCTCATTTTCGAAAATTGATTTTTGAAAATCAGAAAAAAAATTGTACACGAAACTCAAAATGTCTTTTTAGATGTTTTGAGTGTTTTTAAGCAAAAACACGTATAGAATTGAAAACGTGGAAAACAGCTAAAATATCAATACTTTGAAGTAAAATTTTCCATTTTCCCCAAAATTCTTCCTCTGAGCTACCGATCATTTGAAGTAAAATCTCAATACTTTGCATCCCAAAAACATCACAAACAGAGGTTTTCTTTCGATTCTTCTTCACAATTCCCGACAGGTAAATTAAAGGTTTCTCCAAAAATGAGGTTTTCATCTTTTTTATGCTTCAAATGTGATTTGCTCAATAGGTTTAGCGATTGAACTAATTTTTATTTTATTTTTTTTAGATGTTAATCGCATGTAATTTTGCTTAATGGGTTTATTTGGGTATTATTATTTTCGAAATGTTTTTGGTAGAAAGGGAAATGGCTGGAAAAAAAGTGAGCATCGAGAAGGGTATTTCTATGTTTCTGATTATTGTAGGGCACACTACATGATACAGTGTTATTGGTGATAGGTTTTGGTATTCCAACAACACGGTACACAAATGGTTTAAACAAGTTATAATGACTGTTTGTGCATTTGGCATTGAGATAATCTGTCTGACAAATCAAGACATTGTGCATGAGCGAATTTTGCGCAAATATCCTTTCTTTAAGGATGGAACACATGTTACAGCTTGGGCACCTGGATCGAGACAAACAAATATCTTTTCATGGAAGGGAAACTAATGTAACACAAAATGTGATGTTGACATGTGATTTTGATATGAAATTCACATTTGTTCGTTTTGGTTGGGAAGGTACTGCTCATGATTCACGAGTATTAGTTGACGTAGTCACAATAAGCTTAAACAACTTCCCAATGCCACGAACAGGTATATTCTTATACTTCAAAAAATTATTGCAAACATATTTATAGTGTCACACTAAAGAAACTTTTTTTTTTTTTTTTTTTTTTTAATTTTTATTTTACCTTGTTGATTCTGGATATCCAAACATGCTTGGATTTCTTGCCCCTTATCGAGGTCAAAGATATCATCTGCGTGACTATGTTGGACGGGGAAGACTACATGGGAAGAAAAAATTGTTCAACTATAGACACTCCTCGTGCCATAACATTATTGAATGTTGCATTAAAGTTTTAAATGCAATATTTCCTATTTTGAAGTTAATTACCAATTATCCACTTATTAGGCAAAGATAAATCCATATTGCATGTTGCACAATAAACAACTTTATTCGTCAGGAGCACGCTTTAGATAAGTTGTTCGTTGAGTATTCAGATAAGAATATATTGTTTCAAGATATACCGGAGTCAAGTCAATATCAAGAAGTCATACATTTTGATGCTAGTCAAACAGCTCAAATGGGACAAGTTAGGGATCAAATTGCTACACAAATGTGGAATGACTACTCAAGATGTTGTACATGATTCCATGGATTACTCTATATTTTGTTTAGTGCCTGTTTGTTTTGCCATGATACGTAAACTTCTAATAGTATCTATTGAACTGTTTTGTTAAATTTAATTTAAGTTGTGTTTTTTATATGTCAAAAAATATTTCAAAATCACAATTTTCAAAATTTATATGTTATACTTCAAAAAATTATTGCAAACATATTTACATTGTCACACTAATGAATTTTTTTTTTTTTCTAATTTGCAGAACAAGTTTACCTTGTTGATTCTGGATAACCAAACATGCTTGGATTTTTTGCCCCTTATTGAGGTCAAAGATATCATTTGCGTGACTATGTTGGATGGGAAGACTACATTCTTGTGCCGTAACATTATTGAACGTTGCATTAGAGTTTTAAAGGCAAAATTTCCTATTTTGAAGTTAATTACCAATTATCCACTTAGTAGGCAAAGATAAATCCATACTGTATGTTGCACAATAAACAACTTTATTCGTCAGGAGCACGCTTTAGATAAGTTGTTCGTTGAGTATTTAGAGGAGAATATAATGTTTCAAGATATATCAGAGTCAAGTCAATATCAAGAAGTCATACATTTTAATGCTAGTCAAATAGCTCAAATGGGACAAGTTAGGGATCAAATTGCTATACAAATGTGGAATGACTACTCAAAACGTTATACATGATTCCGTGAATGTACTTTATATTTTGTTTAGTGTTTGCTTGTTTTTCCATAACACGTAAACTTCTAATAGTATCTATTGCACTGTTTCGTCAAATTTAGCCCTATTCTTGTCAAATTTTAATGGTTGGAATAGTATTTTTTTGAATAATGTGTGATTGAAAAAGAATGAAAAGTTTTTTATTTGCGTGTAATATTATTTTATAGAAGATTGTGTCGCTGAAAATTAAGGAGAGAAAAATAATGAAAATGAGAATGAGAGCCAAATGGGAGCTTAATTTAAGTTGTATTTTTTATATCTATCAAAAAATATTTTAAGGTTCACCAACTTCAAAATTTATATATTATTTCATACTAATATTTACATTAATCTATTAAAATTTATTGAATAATCATATTTTTGGAATAAAATATTATAAAAAGATATTCTCAAAATTTGACAGTAAATGCGTTTTCCAATTTTATGTTTTGAGAAACAGTTTTCTAAAATGACAAAGAGAACGTATTTTCAGTAATTTCAAAATAGGCACTCAAAACATAAAACTCAAAATGAATTGAAAATTGCAAAACTACAAAATTGAAGCACGAAAAGAACAACCCCTAAATTCTTGGGGTTGGAAAATCAACCTCTGGTTTAAAACTGGTTGGACTATTTGATATTTAACCCATTAATTAACCTTTTTCATGTCAATGTCTGGTCGACCTTTGTTGCTACTAGTGCTTTGCCATGTTGGGCAAGTACATCACCCACCACACATTTGGTTTGCTTCTAATGGACTTGAACAATGAAACTAGGTACAGGAAAATGGTCCCCTACTATGTCCATTTCAAACAGTGTTTTAAGGCTGTATTTGGTATATGGTGGCAACAGAAGTTATTTTCGTGATTATAAATTAAAAATTTTGTAAGTCACAGATCATTCAAATTACATGTCACATTTTATTTATGGGTCACATAAGTCACAATTTATTGGTCACAAATTATTTTTTAGTCACAGACACCTAATATTTAGTCACAAATTAACCAAATAGTTGGTCACAGACGCCCCCACCCGTCACCATCATCACCACCGCAACCATCACCATCACCATCACCACCATCACCATCACCATCACCATCAACAACAACAATTGGCACCACTGTCTCCAAAACCACCATTACCTTACCAACATGAGCCTCACCACTTCCTGCAACCATCATCATGAGCAACACGGCGCTGTAACGCCACCACCATTTCCTTTATCTCCATTTACCCCATACCTAACCACCACCCACAAATGTATGAAATCGCCAACCTAAATGTATGAATCGCCGGTGATATCCCACCGTGAAATCATCGACCCAAATGGTGGTGACTGGCCGTCGGAGAGAGAAGATAGAATTCGCAACCCCGTCGAAGAAGGCACGGCACCATTCTAGACGGCAGCGACTCACGAGAAAGAACTGACGGCACTAGAGAGAGAAAATAGAAGGCGCGAGAGAAGAAGACAGAAGGCGCAGCAGCACGTTGTCGTCGGCGCCACTCATTATCGTCGTTGCCGAAGCTTGGGTTGTCGGCGTCCAAGAGAGAGAAGAGAGAACGAGAGCTGTTATACATTTAGAAAGGAAAGGGAAAGGAAAATTAGGGCTCAGCCATTTGGGTGGGTGTTCTATTTAATTATATAGTACCTGAATTTTGATTAAACATACTTCTCACCTGATTTTTGTATTATGAACTTGAAATAACTGGGATTATGTAATTTCCACTTCCCCAATTCTCCAGAATATCATGTTTTATAAAAGCCCATGGCCCAGTTTATTTTGGCCATTGAAATCCCATACATCTTTGGGAGTCGGGACCGTCAAAATTTACCCATATTAATGTGAGCTGTTATTATTGCATGAAACATGACTCAAATTGGATTTTTTTTGTACCTGTATTTTGTTGCAAGACTAGTCATTTTCCAACTATTTGCCTCATTGAACCCCTCATAATGCAATCTCTCTCTCTCTATTTTTTATTTTTTTATTTTAATATCTGGATGATAATTCCTTTACCTCTCAAAAGATATATTTTAGGATAGTGACGATTTTGTTATTTCTTTCTTGCCCAGAAAATATAAAATTTTATTATCAAAACATAATTTCTGCCTACTTTTGATTACTAAAAAGACATGCTAGTGTAGATGAGGGCTAGCCTTGAAAACAAGCATGATTCATCTTCTTGACTATTGGATTATTGTATTTTGATTTTCTCTTTAATTTTTTAGAAAATTGAGATAAATTTATGGTAAAAATTTGTGCTCTTTGTTCTAATGTAAAATTTATAGGTGGTAACCACAAATATCATAAATATGCTTGAGGCACATGCTTTGTAAATTTGTGTTAAATTTCTTATGCATTTACATCTTGCCACTTGTAAGATAAGCTTTTTTGACCCAATTTTAGGACTCTTATCATAAAGATAAGTTTTTTCTGGAAAATAGAAAAGTGGTACCAAATTATGCCCTTTTCATAACTTAGATTTTATTTCTATTAGATTTTGAATGCAAATGGAGTTGGATTGGATGCGCCCACTAAAATCTAAGGCAAAAGCC